TTGTGAGCTCCAATGAGGTGATATTCTTGATTGGCTTATCCCTATTTGCAATCCATGCAGAAGTAAATTTGGGGACCGTATTGAACCATATGCCGAGGTACCAGTTGCTAGTGTTTCCGGAGGATTTGCTGCTTGTTTCGAAGAAGCAAAGCGCGTACCTGCCGTTCCTGGAGACGAGCTTGTCGTTGACGGTGAGTGCTTGGCCGGCCAAGATGGTGTCCGTTGCCGCAGCAGAACATGCTGACATGTACAGGAAGAGGAGCAATGCAATATCCACGAGGAGATGCATGGTAAACTGAAGAGGAGGGGCGAGCTTGCGGATGCAGAGGCCGCAAATGCAGGATGATTGCTCAATGGTCTGGTCATAGCAGTAAATAGCCGCGGTTTCAACTTTCAACAGTCAAACAAAACAGCCAAGCTAGTTGAATGGACATTTATCCTGGTGGTGATTGTCAACCACGTAGCAGGTAGCACCCACAGAAGGGCTGAGCCGGTCTGAGTTTGCATGGTGGAGACGAGAGGAGAGGAGTGAGCGAGAAGGTGTGGACATGAGCTTTAGGCATCTGGTTACCGGCTCACGTCAGAGGTATTTGCCATCACAACTGTTGCTGATGTGATTCAAAGGATTTTATCTTCTCATCATGCTGACTTAGATCTGGATACCAGTTTCACGTTGCTTTGGAATATTTGGAAAGCTAGGAATGATCTTCTTTTTAATAAGAAAAAATGGAGTATTATGCAGGTTATATATGCTACAAACGCTATGCTAAATGCGGAGCTAATGGAGGAGAAGGCGGCGGCTCACATCAACCCTGCAAACAATAATATTTCTCCTTTTCACGTTCAAAATATACAGTTCCAAAATGCAGGTCTTTTGGCGTACAGTGATGCTGCGTACAATCCGGAAATTGCAAAAGAAGAAGCTGGTCTTGGAGTTTTTCTTAGAAATGTTAGTAACAACCATACTGTATTTGTTCAAGCTGCTGCAAAAAATGTTTGCTCTGTTTTGCAGGCTGAAGCTATTGGATTATCACTGTCGGCTGAGGTGGTTAAAGCTCTAGGATGGAATACTGCTATTTTCTTATCTGATTGCAGGAATCTTGTCCAGGTGGCTAAAGCAAGAAACCTTTTAGAGAGTCCAGGAGATTGGAGGATAAGACCTATGCTTGCTGAATTTCTTAATCACACTTCTTTTCTTTCATCATGTGAAGTCAGGTCTATACCTAGGAATGGGAATGTCATTGCTCATTCCCTAGCTAAGAAAGCTTTTATGCAAAGAGCTGTCTCTAGTTCTTCAATCTTATGCAGCAAATCTTCTGGGTGTAAAGCTCAACAAGCTTTAAACTCTATCTCCTTTCCTTTTGGAAAGTTGATCTCTGTACACTGTTTGGGTTGCAAATAAATAAAATCAAGGGCACTCTTTGAGGGCCAAAAAAAAAAAAAACTGTTGCTATTAAGTTGCTATTTGTTTTCAAGCTGGCTGGTATAGTCTCTCACATCAGCATCAGCTTCTCACCACTTTCTCTTTTGCAAGGCAACGTGTTATTGCTGGGAGATGGACTCAGATGAGAAAACTGCCGTTTGGTGATACAAAAACGTGTTAGGTTCCCCTCAGCGTAACACTTTGCTCTAACAGGTTATACGTGCCAACCTCTTTTGGTATTTTGTTTTACAAGTAAGAGGGGACAGCAGGCCATCACGTATTTTTGTATAGCTATGTGTACCAAACAATCTTGTACCTGTTGTCACTTTCTTAGGGTCTTGAAATTCCAAAGGATTTTTATAATCGTCGGGACTTTTCTTCTCCTACATCACCTCTTTGATTTTGGTTTGTTGGATTGCAATATATGGAATTTTGTTTGTAAGGATTGATTCACAGTATTTTATTTTTACTTAAGTTATTAACTTTTTCGGAAGATTCATGTATTTTCTCTTTTATTCCCTCCATCCCATAATAGAAGAATGTTTTTCAAGCTATGTTAGCTTGAAAACGTTCTTATATTATGGATATTATGGACGTAGGGAGTAGCAATCAAACAACCTTTGTATATTTAAGTTGGCACGACATTAAGAAGAGACTTTCCTTCCCTTCTCACAAGGCGACTAGTGTAAATCCTTCCTTTTCTCGATCTTCGCTGGCAAGCCTGTGGATTCACCTCCCCCTCATTTGTCGCCCCGGCGGCCGGTGGTGTGGAAGAAAATATTGGTGCCTTGACTCTGGCTAGTCGACATGTTAGGGTTTTACTCCTCGCAGGGTGGTGCTCGGACGAATGGCAGCGTTTCTTCTTCAAGTTAATCTTCTGGACTTCGATCTTCCTCGAGTTCGTCTAGCGTGATGGATTGGATGGGGCTCTGACGACATAGATTCCCTGCCAGCTCCTCAGGGCAGAGGTTAGGGTTTCTCGCGTGCCCATCCACTGGAAGGTGGTGTTGGACATGTTGCCTTGTTCTGGGCTGAGTGTTTTTTTCTTACTTCCTTTTTGACAGTGTGTTCTGGGCCGAGTTTGCATGGTGGAGAGGAGAGGAAGTGAACGAGAAGGTGTGGACATGAGCTTTACGCATCTGGTTACCGGCTCACGTCAAAGGTATTTGCCATCACAACTGTTGCTATTAAGTTGCTGTTTGTTTTCAAGTTGGCTGGTATAGTTTCTCACATCACATCAGCTTCTCACGACTTTCTCTTTTGCAAGGCAACATGTTATTGCTGCGAGATACACAGATGAGAAAACTGCCGTTTGGTGATACAAAAACGTGTTAGGTTCCCCTCAGCGTAACACTTTGCTCTAACAGGTTATAGGAGTACTTGCTAACCTCTTTTGGTATTTTGTTTTGCAAGCAAGAGGGGAGAGTTGGCCATCACGTGCTCATTTTAGTATGTATAGCTAAACCAAACAATCTTGTAGAGTACTTATTATCACTTTCTTAGGGTCTCGAAATTCCAAAGGATTTTTATTGGGACTTTTTTCTTTCTTTTGCGTCACCTCTTTGATTTTGGATTGTAGGATTGCATTATATGGAATTTTGTTTGGAAGGACTCATTCACAGTATTTTATGTTTATTTAAGTTGGCTATTAGCAACTTTTTTTGGAAAAAAGTTGGCACGACATTATGAAGAGACTTTCCTTCCCCTCTCGCAAGGCGACTAGGGTAAAGCCTTTCTCCCCGCGATCTCGGCTGGCGAGGCCATGGATTCACCTCTCCTCTGCCTACCGCTCCGGTGGCCTGTGGTGGGAGGAAAACCTTGATGCCTCGACTCTGGCTAGTAGATGATTAGGGTTTTAGTCCTCGCAGGGTGGCACTCAGGTGGATGACGACGCTTCTTCTTTGAGTTAATCTTTCGGGTACTGATCCTCCTCAAGTTCGTCCGGCGGGACGGATTAAACAGAGCTCCGGACTCCAGTGTAGATTCCTGCCAGCTCTTCGGGGTGGCAAGGTTAGGATTTCTCGTTGTGTGTACGTGGCGACGATATTTGGTGTCAGATTCTTCAAATTGATTAAAGGGTTCAACAACAACGATTGCGACTCTGGGGCACTCTTCCTTGGGGGCACGTGCATAAAGACTTTCTGGCTGCTATCGAGAAAGTTAGGTCGGCTCTGGTATGGGAGCGACGACAACGTCACGTCATTCTGGCGGCAGTAGTAGTCGTTTGGTGGTCCAGGGACCTTAATGTAATTTTTATTAGGTCTGGAGTGCTTTTGTACTTTTGGTAAAATTTTATAATAGATCTGAGTTCTTTTTCGCAAAAAAAGTCTGCACGACATTTAAATCAAACCACGTACTTACCAAACTATCAGTAGGTATACTCCGAACAAAATTCCTTTGTTGTCGTATCAGATCGCAAGGTATAAGAGATCTAGAGGAGGAAGGAGAAAGAAGAGGATGAGGAGGCAGGAGGAGGCCAACCTGGCCTCGATGGTGGTGATGTGAGGCAAAGTGATGAGGCCACCGACACGAGATGGTAGGAGAATGAGACGAAGGAGGAGTGCGGGAAAGGAAGAAGAGCGACACAATTGACCTCAGTGTGACGACACCGACGATGTGGCTAGTGGTGTAATGCATTGTTGATAGAATGGTACCGAGCGCCTGCCGAGCCTACAAGCGCGCTTGCATGATTGGGATATGGCGATGCCTTGACTTGCCCGACTTACGATGGCGGCGGTGGAAAATCAAGGCCTACTATGGCGGAAGGAAGAAAAGGAGCAGCAGGAAAGGGGAAGGGGCGACACTACTAGAGAAACAAGATGCGGGGTTTTTCATGGTCTGAGTTCGACTTTGTACATCGTCATGCAGAACATTCGGTGCATGGGGGAGCGACGGAGCAGAGGAGGGAGCGCTCCTAGGTCCATGCTTTTGGGGGCTTTTGATACTCCCAACCAGAAAACCACGCCTAAAAGTTTCAAACAAATCCTACTCCGGAGTAGAATACGATTGGTTTTTTTAGGGGACAATACAAATTGAGCTGAAATTCAACTCATTTGTAAAGTGGGTGTAGGGGGAGCGGGACAAAACGACGGCCACACCAGGGCCGCGCAGCTGGTCGCCCCGGTCCCGTGTGCTTCGCGGTTGCACGCGTGCACGTCTCGACATTTCGAGAACGGCGGATCCGGGCCGTCCACGTGCGCCGCAGATCCCATCCGACGGCGGAGGTCCATCCACCGAGCGGGACAGGGCGCCAGTGGACGACGACGTCGACGAGGCTGGGCTCACGCCACTGTGCTCTGCACGCCGCCCTTTCCCCGTCCACTCGTTCGTCTTCCCTCTTTCTCCCCTCCCACGACCCCCGACAGCGAGGCAGAAGCAACCCGAGCCCCAGCCCACCATTCCCTCCCAGTCCCAGCCCCAAACCTCCTTCGCCTTCACCCAGCCCCCCAGCCACCGATCCCCAATCCGCGCGCCCACCCTCCCCTCCACGCGCGCGGGCGGCCATGGGATGAGCCGCGGCGGCGGGGGAGCCCGGATCCGGACCTAGGGTTTTCGGCTGCCACGCGCGCGCGCAGCCATGGAGTGGGACAGCGAGTCCGACGGCGGCGGCAGCGCCGGGAGCGGGGACGAGATGGAGGAGGAGGAGGAGGAGGGGGGAGAGGTGGTGCTTGGCGGGGGGAGCGGGAGCGGGAGCGAGGGCGGGGGATTTGGAGGGATAGGCGGCGACGGGGTCGGCGGGATGTTCACGTTCGCCATCGAGGGGATGCTCCGCGGGGCGGGGCCGTACGGGCTGGTCGTCACGGACGCGCTCGAGCCCGACTGCCCCATCATCTACGTCAACCGCGGCTTCGAGGAGGCCACCGGGTACCGCGCCGAGGAGGTGCTCGGCAGGAACTGGTTCGTCCCCCGTCCGTCCTCCTACTTTTGCTCTCCTTCGGTTCGATTCGTGCATGTATTGTTGGAATTGATCCACTTAGGATCGATCAGAGCTTAATTTTTGTTCGTTTGGATAATTGGGTTGCTACGTCCTGAGCTTCTGTAGTGGTGACTTGTAGCAATAGAAATGTGGCTAGATTGGGGAATTCTTCGGTTTACACTCTACTTGTTAAAACGCTTCTTCTTTGGGCCAAATATCAAGCTGTGACGTGGGTTCGTTATGGTGTAGGATTCCCTGTGCCTGTTTGTGCTTATTTGGCTTTGCCTAGTCCTCCAGTAGCATTGTTTGCTTTCTGTTAACAGTTCCTACAAATGCTCGTAAGACTTCCGATGATTTGTGTGCACCAAATAGATTGAAGTTAGCAACTTAGCACCAAAAAGTGCCATCATGTCTTGCATCATCAGTCCCAGGAGAAGTTTTCCTACCTTAAATTGTTGAGTTTGGACCATATCTTGAGGCTTTATTTACTCTATATATTGGAGCTGCTGAACCACATCTTGGCCTGATATGCTAGTCTTGGAACCATGCTGTTTGAATTCTCCCTTGGTTCGCTAACTTTGTATCTAATGCAACCCTTCAAGATTGACTTAACTCTGATACTTCTACGCTAGTGTTTTTGGATTGGTTATAGACTCTTTTTGGCATGATACTACATAAGTAATGACAAACAGAAGCATGTTTGTATGTAGTTTAATCATTTTTTGTTTTGTTTTAAGGTAATCATGTCTTGTGTAGTATCCTTTGAGCAAACATAGTTGTTGGAACTTTGCAACTTCACATGAAAATGAACAAATATTTATCATGACAGTCTCTAGAATAGAAAGGGGTGGACCTGATCAGTTAAAGAAGTATATTCAATCAAAACTTGTTTGTCATGTCCAGTCTGCCGGAATCCCCCAGGTGTTTGATGATCTGATCATACTATGCTATTTTGCACTCTTCAATGAATCATGGAAATGATACCTGTAGAGTTAGAGCAGGTTGTGAAAAGGGACTTTAAGGTAGTTAGCCTTAATGAAAGATGAGTCATAAATGCATAACACAAAAGGGAGAACACAAAATAGTGACGCCTTGAAATGGGTATTTTTTGTATCAGTTATAAACTCCTTTTGGCATGATACTACATAAGTAATGAAAAACAATAACATGTTTGTAAGTACTTTTAATCATTTTGTAGGGCAACAAGGTTGTAGGTAGTATCCTTTGAGGTTTGAGCAAACATACTTGTTGGAACTTAGTAACTTCACATGGAAATGAACATATATTTATCATGATCTTTATGACAGAATGGGAGTGAACCTGCTCAGTTAAAAGTAGTATTCTAATCAAAATTTGTCTGTCATGTTAAGTATGCCGGAATCCCAGGTGTTTGATGATCTGACAGTTGACAATGTTATGTTGCACTTTTCAATAGTATCATGGAAAATAATGATACCTGTAGAGTTAGAGCAGGTTGTGGAATGGAACTTTTAAGGTATGTAGCCTTAATTAAAAATGAGCCATAGGCGCATAACACTAAAGGAAGAACACAAAAATAGTAATATCTGTAGCTGAAGGATCTAAGGTATACTTGGATAAGTGATAAATTGTGAGTTGTGACCAATTCTGGTCTTGCAGAAATAGTAATAGTAATATTCTGAAGTTCTCTTAAGTACCATCTGCTCTGTAGAATGACCTCACATATGATTATCTTGTAATATTTTGTTACGGAGGGACCCATAGATATCTGTGTACTACGTACATCATAAGAAAAAATAACGCCAATAGTATATTACTATGATGGTGACAGACAAATATAGTGCTACTGATTTATGTGATGGAACAACTGTTTTCCAAAGTTTGGAAGGCTTAATCGTAGAAGTTATTGCATGCTTGTTATTTTGAGTTTCTGATAGAAAACAAATGGGGGGAGTACGCCTGCTCAGTTATC